TTCTTCCTTGTTTGTTCTAATGTTAGTACCATTTTTAAAGCACATGTTTTATCTTCATGATTGTGGATTACATAGACAGAGGAGCATGCCTTCTGTTTCCCTGGTGCTTAGTATATTTTTGCTCCTAGTGGTAATAATGGGGTTGTCACTGCCTGCTATTTATAGTAAAATAATAGGTAGAAAATAATAACTAGAAAGAACTCATTATTGCCTGGCATTTTAACCTGCTGTCATGTTATTGTGCAGTGTCCAGATTGTTTTAGAATTTTGCCAATGTTTCATGGTACTTTACTGTTGCCTATTGGCACAATAGTTCCTGTTAGGCAGATTCTTAGCTCATGAACCTGGTATTTTCCCTTTTAACAGAATCTCCGCTAGTGTTTTTGCTAATTACTAAGACATTTCCAAGTTTTACTTGTAATTTATTTGTAATTAGGAGAATTGTGAAAAGCTAAATCCCATCATAAAAGACTAGAAATGTTGTGTATAAAGGGGAAGTTTTATAAAAGGAGTGATTAAGACCTATGTCTCTGGAGCTAGACCTTCCAGATTTCATCTTACTCTGTCACATTGTGACTTTTTGTCAAATTGATTAAATTCTCTTTGTCTGAGTTTCCTCATCTGGAAATTGGAGATAACCATCCCTGCCCCATGGATTATTGTAGAGATGAATGAGTTAATGTATTCCAAATACTTCTAACAGTCCCAGAAACATCATATTACTGAATAATTATCAGGTCTTATTATTATATAGTGGCACAGTTACTATTAAAGGCCCATATTTGTGAGAAAAGAATTTATTGGTATTTACACTTGACATATAATACATTAAATTTTTTTTATTTTTTTTTTAAATTTTTTTTTTCAACGTTTATTTATTTTTGGGACAGAGAGAGACAGAGCATGAACAGGGGAGGGGCAGAGAGAGAGGGAGACACAGAATCGGAAACAGGCTCCAGGCTCTGAGCCATCAGCCCAGAGCCCGACGCGGGGCTCGAACTCACGGACCACGAGATCGTGACCTGGCTGAAGTCGGACGCTTAACCGACTGCGCCACCCAGGCGCCCCGACATATAATACATTATTGAAACTCATGCAACATATTTGAAGAAAAAAACAACTTTAATTATCCTAACTAAACTGTATTTGTCTAATATTGGTCAACTCTTTTGAAAATTATCCTTGAATGGAGAGATAGGTAACAGACAGTCAATAGTTCATTAGAAGTAGTAATCTCACTTTTTTCCCATTAATGAGCGATGATCGTTCACTTTGCTCTTGTAAGAAACTATAATGACATTTGAAAATCACAAAATATAACCTGCTTTGCAGAGACTTTGTATTTATTTTTCCATCCTATATTTTACATTTGTTTTAGAAGTTTATAAAACCTAACAAGGAGGCTTTTTGTAAAATTTCAATGAGTTGGGAATTATTTTTGTTGGTCTTAGCCTATAAATTGACACATCTAATGGCCAGCAAATTAAAAAACATGCAACAGATCCAGGAAAAAATACCAACTGCAAAAAGAAAGGTGAAATGACAAGTAAATTTTCTAAAATTAGTTAAATGAAAAGCATAAATGTATTGGAAATGAATTACATTAAACTAAACATTGCTTTAAATATCACTATTTTTTACATATCTATGATACCTCTCTAAAAGATTATTGGTGCCTATTTAAAAATTTGTTTTGGGGTGCCTGGATGGCTCGTTTGGTTAAGGGTGCCACTGTGGCTCAGGTCATGATCTCTTGGTTCGTGAGTTCGAGCCCCACATTGGGCTCTGTGCTGAGAGCTCAGAGCCTGGAGCCTGCTTCGGATTCTGTGCCTCCCTCTCTCTCTCTGCCCCTCCCCTGCTCACACTCTGTCTGTCTCTTTCAAAAATAAATAAAACATTAAAAAATTTAAGACTTTGTTTCAGTCTTTTTGTATTTAACACTTATAAACAGTAAAGAATTTCTATGAACGGTTCTTTAAAGGAGACACTTGGAAAACTTCAAGGTAACTTTATTTTCCCTATTTTACTTTAAATGTATTTTTCCCTTTGAAATTTAGTGAACCCCTCCTACTGAATTTTGGAAGTCTTTCATTTTTTACCAAAGGCAACATGCTTGCTAAGAGTCAACTGAGAGCAATATTTGTGCAGGAATTTTAATTTAATAGATACACCAGTTTATAATGGAAACATCAATGCAACACTAACAACAGTGGAAGTGTAGACATTGCTGATTATATTAATGCTGTAGACTTACTTTCTCCAAATGAAGATCATTCCATTTTCTATCTTTTTACTACTTGAAATAAAACATATTTACATTTCTTCTCCAAGAAACATCATTCAACATACATCTGACTACAACTTTGAGTGCCATGAATGCGTGAAGGCTTGTTTTGCTCAGTCTCATTATCTGTATGGTGGAAACTGTACTATCAGTAAAGATGCTCTCATCAAGAAATCACTTCAAATAGTGTCACTACCTGACACTTTTATTAAAAACGCTAGTGATAGTAAATGTACTTATTGAAACTGTATTTACTACTCAGCTATGCAAGCTTTATTAACATTTTTCTTTTTTAATGGATTATAAATAAATTATCTGAATAGTTTCCTTTTTAAAAATATTGCCCAGTACTCAGCCTATTCAAGAGTCTGAAGTACTGCATTGAGAAATCATTTAATCTGTATCAGGCATAATTCTTGGCCACTGAAAAAGGACATTAGCCACAAATCACACTACCTCATCTGCCTGTGTGCACCGTATCCCAAGTCATCAGACTGTTTACTGTCTGGTCTGTCTGATTAAGAACTAGTGGAGACTGAGGAACAGCATAGGTAAGCTTTGTCTCAAGCAGAAAATCCTCAAACCAAGTCAAGATCCAGATCACATATATCTAACTTCCTTTTGTAATTTGGGCAGAGGAGTGTAGAATTGATGTAAGAGATTTGATTCATGTCTGGGTTGCACTTACACTATTTATTGTTTGCTACTCTTTGACTACTTACACAGTAGAGGCAGCCCTGAAGACCAATGTTCCCATAGGCAGTTGACATATATTTGATGGCATTTGGGTTAAAACACAGCATAAATAAAACCAGCTTGTCTTGTACTATATTAAAACCATAGAGATGGAAAAAAAATCAATGTTTTTTTTTTTTCTGTATAGAAAAGGATGAAACTCATGAAGAAAAGAACTAATATTATCCAATTTTGGGTAAAGGCAACAGAAACACAAAAGCACATAGACTACTTTTATAGAGAAAGATGTAGGGAAATAGACATTTTTATATGTAGTGGAGATTAGATTGCCAATCCTGTAAACCGTCTCGTTACCTTGATTTCAGAGGACAACAGTTAGGTTACATCGTGGTAATGCTGACTTGATGAGTGCATGATACAGTAATGTAAGGAAACAAAGATTGATATTAAAATGACTACAGAGTCTCTGAGGAGTACACACAGATCAATATGGTGTAAGTCATAGACTACCCTCCTCTATAGAAGAGTCTTGTAAGAAAGTGAAGCCAATTCTTCTGAGAAGTTTTCCCACTCTCCCAATGAACTGTAAATTATCATAGTCAAACACAATATTAAACCATTCCTTTCTTGGAACTTAAAGGCCTTTGGAAGATTAACTATCGCCCCAAATAATGAAATGAATGAAGTTTTCTTACATTTATTAAAAGTTTTTTTTTCAACATTTATTTATTTTTGGGACAGAGAGAGACAGAGCATGAACAGGGGAGGGGCAGAGAGAGAGGGAGACACAGAATCGGAAACAGGCTCCAGGCTCTGAGCCATCAGCCCAGAGCCTGACACGGGGCTCGAACTCACGGAGTGCGAGATCGTGACCTGGCTGAAGTCGGACGCTTAACCGACTGCGCCACCCAGGCGCCCCAGTTTTCTTTCAAATTATAGTTTCTTCCACATTATTTTACCAAAGTGGGCCTGAATCAAGAGCTTTTTGTCTCAGGGCATATTGAGTGTGCTAATAACCAGATATACAGAGTTGGGCTGACCCAGAGCCATCTAGCTAGTTAGTCTCAGTCACACCCCTGATTGGTGTTTAGAGGTACAGGGCAAATTACTGTGTGATTCTTAGCTCATGTAAGTCCGAGATAGAATGGCTCACATGTAGAGTTTTCAGCAAGCAAAGTGAATTTCTAAATTACAGCTTCTCTCCTTAGATGTAATCAGTAAATTGATTAGTAAATGGGTTCATAGAGGTGTTTGGCTTCCTGACTAGGGAGCCTTCCCCCACCCCCCATTTGTTATGGCTATTCCATGCAATGATGAATATGGGCGGGTACCTCATAAACAGTCACATTACAGACAGACAACTTCTGAGTATGGAATGGAGGCATTTACATAAACAGAGGCTCATTCTCTGCTTCATGCTGTATTGCAGTTTTTCATGCCCATTAACTATCTACTCTGCCCGCACTTGAGCCCCTGTGCTAACATTAAAGTAAGTTCATCTTCAAGGGAAAAAATATATCTCAGGAGATTCGTCTCAGATAGAGTGTTTGAATAACATTAAGTGAACCAAGCAAAAATAAAATGCTAATGAAATTAGTGTAGTCAGATTTTAAAGTTGATGAGAATAAACAAATTCTTCTGATAAAGTATAACCATAACACTTAGTATGTTTTTCATTGCAGTATTTGGGAAAAAATACAATTGTGTATTGCAATAATTTGACTTTTTAAATATATTTAAGAATTTTTCTTTTTGCTGCTCTTTCTAAAGTAAAAAGTCTATTGGGAGAAAATTTGATTGTCCTATATAACTTAGTTATTAAGACTAACCTGACTCCTTTATTTTCATTGACTCTAGTATTTGAAAGATGACATAAAATACAGCATCTTTTTATTAGGCTCTATCCTAGTAATATGAAGAATTCACATAAATTTTAAAGGACTCCATGTGTTCCATACAAAACACTTAATTAGATATTCACAGCAATCATATGAAATAAAGTGCTTTTCTCTTTTTACAGGTGAGGAAACTGAAGTTCAGAGAGGTGATTTCCCCAAATTATATACAGTTGTACAGGGCAGAGTAAGTTCCAACTTGAAAATAATTGTTCTATAGTTTTATTCAACAGCGTTTTTTTTCTCTTTCTTTCTTTCTTTCTTTCTTTCTTTCTTTCTTTCTTTCCATTTTGTGCAAAGCAAAGAGATAGCAGAACAGAGTACAAGACAATATTTACCTTGGTGGCACTACAGCCAAGGATATGTGTTTGGAAAAGAGCATGTGCAAGTGAGGGGAAAGAGAGAGAAATATACAAGCAGTAACAATATAATGTGATAAAAGCTAAATGTGATAATAAATTCAAAATGCATAGCATCGCAAAATCGGTAGCAAATATTACTTTGGGAATGTGTCAGGAAACCCTCAGAAGGGAGGTAATTTATAATATAAGTTGGGAAGGACAAGTGGATTAGGTATTAATCAAGTAGAAAGATCAAAGAAGGCATTTTTAGCATAAACAATAGATGTGAAGTGAAAGGAACTAATAAGTATTCTTGAGCAGCTGAGTTGTTTGTGTGTGGTTCTATAGCCCTGGTGTAATGACCAAGTGAGTGAGACTATAAAGCTAAAAACCATAGAGAGCCTCAGAGGTTTTGCATGTCATGGTAAGGAGTTTGGATTTTCTTTTTGGTCAATAGGGACCCACTGAAAGTGTTGAAATTCATTCAAAGCTTGAACTTCCTTCCCCAAAACTAAGTGCAGTAAGCACCAGTCTTGATGCAAACCTTGTATTTTGAGCCAGAAAAGGACATTAACAAACAAGCAAACACCGGTGGGGGTGGAGAGAGAAAGTAACACAACTGGTCTGCTAAAGATTCCACCCCAGTGGGAGAAACAAATGACAACCCACAATCTCAGCATTTGGTATGTAATCTGAAAAAGATTGATGCACATTTACAGGTGATGATTCAATAATGATAATGTTATTATTAGAAACATAATACATTTACACACCTTCACCCTCCACATCTCTTATTTGAGAACTACTTGTATAGGAAATAACAATGAAGTATGACATTGTGGAGGAAAAAAAAGTTTTGGCATTGTCATCACACAAACCCACAACCACAAGCCCAACAGAAATATTAAGGACAGTGGAGGCATGACATGTTTTTAAATTTAGCCCATAAACTCTTGAAATTCTACCCTTAAGGTTTTCTCTGTAGGAACTCTTCTCTCTCCAAGCTCCTCCTGGTGACTGACATTACTTCTGGACCATACCTAAGAGGTTGTTAGGAGAAGAATATCTATGCAAAATAAGAAATATCAATAAAGCAGATGTCCTTACTTTGGTTTCCATAAATAAGAAAGAAATTCAAGGATAGCTCTGATGGGGATAACTTTAAGATGGCAGTTCTTAGTAGTCAATAGAAAAAAAATAATATCAGCATGATAAAGACACAGAATTTTATTTAAAAACTTGTACACCCACACAACATATAGGTCACCAGTAGGTGGGACCCAAAGGGAAAACACCTGAAGCAGTGGAGCTTTTTATGCTTTTGTAAAACCCCTGTCTTTTTAAAAAAGTTCAACTGTAATCATGCAGAGGAACTTCGTCCATGACAAGAGGGTAGAAGCCAAACTAGAGAAGTTGACAATGTAGTTGATATGTAGTTTGAAAAGCTGTATGCATTCAGATAAGGCTCAGAGTAAGGACACTTATAGAAATTCTAAGGAATTAAAAAATATAGTAGATCAGTGTCCATTATTTTTAAGAATGTTAGGAAAAAGAGAAAGGCTCAGATTGCTATAAAGAGAAAATAGAAAGCTTTTCTTGAAAAGGGGTGGGAAATGTGTGGAGGGGGAGGATGACCGTGATAATTACACACTGTTCAGATTCTAATCAGCAGTGGGACACACTAGAAATAATTTTCAGTTATCTATGTGAGTCGCCTAGAATGATGTAAGTTTCTAAGCATTAGACAACCGAGGTTAACACGTGGAGTTTTCCTGCATCCTCTTTAGAAGTCGCCTTGCACATTGCAACACAGCCTTACTGTTAGAAGGGTAAGTCTTCCCTGCCGTATTTAACTCCATTTAGGGAATGAAGCAACATAGATGGAATCTCTTTGAGATTTACTTAAGCATTTAGTGGTTTGGGACAGTGGTAGAGCACAGCAGTTCAGAGGTGAGACTCTGACTCAGACAGAGCTGGACTTGAATCCCTGTTTCCCCAGATGCTATCTGAATAACTCTGGGGGAACCTCTGTTATGTTGCAGTTATACACAGCCCCTAAAATGGGTATCTCATAGGGTTGTTGTGGAGGATAAATGAGAATCCAGGCACAGGAACTCTCCTAGAAAAATGTATACTTATGTACAGTGTTATGGATAATTTACAGTCTTTCAGAAAATGTTGATGGAGTTTTAATTAATCAGTTGCATTTTTTTAATGTTTTTGTACAAATTGGTAATTATATTATCAAAGATATGGATAAATAGATGGCTTCCATTATGTTTCTGCCTTTTATTGGCTTATTTTTCCGCTTACCAGTTAAAAAAAGACAATTTTTTGGAGCAGCTTTAGATTTACAGAAAAGGTTTTGTTAGTTTGTCAGCAGTGAATACTTGTTCTTTTGAATTAATTGAGTTGCAGTAAGAGTACAAATGAGTGTGTAACTCTTTATCCATTGAAATCTTGAGACTTGATAGGTAGTGACTTTATCATTTATACACATGTATATTTGTGCATCCAGGTTGAGTAACTCCTCACTTTAAAAAACTACATGTAAATAGGTCTATTATATTTCTTCTTTACATTGCTAATTTATTTTTTAATTTTTTTTTCAACGTTTATTTATTTTTGGGACAGAGAGAGACAGAGCATGAACGGGGGAGGGGCAAAGAGAGAGGGAGGCACAGAATCGGAAACAGGCTCCAGGCTCTGAGCCATCAGCCCAGAGCCTGACGCGGGGCTCGAACTCACAGACCGCGAGATCGTGACCTGGCTGAAGTCGGATGCTCAACCGACTGCGCCACCCAGGCGCCTCTTTACATTGCTAATTTAAAAGCAAGTTGTATTTGAATTAAATTTCAGATTTTCTAGTAGAAAATTTGATTATAAATTAAATTTTCGCTGAAATATTAAGCAAACATTCTCATCTACTTTGTAGGTTTTGGACAAGACGTCCACACTGTAAAAACATGGCCACATAGAAAACTGCTTATTGACCTCTATCTTGGATAAATCTATTTGTCTTTGATTCTGACAAAGAGTTTTGAATCTTGTTGGCTAAAAACTTATAAAACAGCAAAGTTCTCTCTAAGGGACTCTCTGGACATATTGTTATGATGTATGATAGTCTAGAAATACTACTCTACACTATACTGTGCTTTACCTTAGAGTCCTACCTTATCCCAGGTCATATCCTACCATTTCCATGCTTTATCATTGTGTATTAGTTTTCCATTATCTGTAGTATCATTACACAAGTATGAGATGAATTCATTAGCAGTCTGAATTAGACAGGGTAATTTTTTTAACAAAATAAGATTTTGTTTATTTCCTTGTATATGTATTTTTCTTCAGTACTATGTAATTTGGTTTTGCAATTACTTAGCCAATGATTTATTGCCATTTAGGTCATTGAAACAGAGTGCAGATGTATTAGAGCATTCCATTCCATTGTCACAGGGGCCCAGTTCCTAACTGGAATAATGATGTAGTCACATCTTAATGACAGTTTAGTCAAAGTTGAATCCTACTCACGTATAATTGTGTTGATTAATAAACATGTCATATTGATTTTAAATACTTTGTATATTGGTCATGATCAAGGCTGTCGAAGCCTCACAAGAGCCTCTTACATTCCATGACTCCCAGTGTGACTCATCAGCTCAATGTTACCACTTCACAAAGCACATATTTATAGCCTTGGCATTACCCCATGTGCTAAATATCTGGCTGTTGGGAGCTGAAATTGCCACTAGGGTTACAAGATCATGTAATTCTGAAAGGAAATTCAAGATGAGATCTTTGGCTATTAGGAGAATAGATCATCAAAAAGAGAACAGGTTTTGAGAGATATAAATAGGAACAACTAAAGAGCTCAGAGTCATCATAAATCATAGAATAAATATGAGAATACATGAGAAAAAATGTTTCTAGTTACAATTTAAACCAGCTTACAGGATACTGAGATGTGTAAAGTCAGGGAACTTTTTTTTTCATCTGAGAAAGGATTTTAGTAGCCTTTGAAGTCTAAGATATCACTTAAAGATTGATAGGAATATACAAAGTTCTCCTGGAGACTCCTGATCAATTCCATTTTGAGACGGTTGTTATGGTAGTGAGCCCTTGTATTATGGCCTCTTGTTTATTTTTATCCCAGAGAAACTCTGTCATGTATGTTTTAGGTCTAGTGATGTATAATAGAACAGGGCTTAGTTATTTCTGTTGCTTTGTTATTTGTGTTTGCTCCATTTTATCATTTTTACTTTCTCCCTGTGATTTATTGAATCCAGTATAAGTAAAATAACAAAATAGTTACATATAAACTAAAAACATAGATATATATTTTTTGTATATCTAGTTAAATGAGTTTCTAAAGATATGATTTTGGCCTGTGTGTTAATTTGCATTATTGGAAGACACAGAGCTCAAGGTGGGATTAGATATGCAAGAGATTTATTAGGTAAAATGCTTAGGAAAGATAAAGGGGGGTAGGAAGACAGAAACAGACCACAATGTGGATCTGACCCTTGTAACGGAAGGAATACTGGCTAGGAAAGTGCTAAGACTATTCTATGAAAATTGCAACCAGGGAGCGCCTGAGTGGCTCAGTCAGTTAAGCATCTAATTTGGGCTCAGGTCATGACCTCATGGTTTCGGAGTTTGAGCCCCTCATCAGGCTCTGCACTGACAATGGGGAGCCTGCCTTGGATTCTCTCTCTCCCTCTCTGTCTGCCCCTCCCCTACCTATTCTCTCTCTCTCTCTCTCTTTCTCAAAATAGGCAAATAAACTTTAAAAATTAAAAAAACAGAGACCCAGCAAAAAAAGAGACCTAGAGGCCAATATCCCTGATGAAT